TATCTTCGATAGTATGCCTACAGTCTTGGAAATTTTCTTGGAAATTTGTTGTATATGTGTTTGAAATTTGAGTCTATTATCAAGGTGGATTCCTAAGAATTTTCCCTCTGTGAGCTTTGTGATAGGTGATCCGTTTATTATTATGTTAAGAGAGACATCTGTAGCTCTACCAAACTGAATGAAGTAAGTTTTGTCAATGTTGAGAGTAAGTTTGTTAGTCCTCATCCAGGTAGATATTTTCTGTAATTCGGTATTCGCAGTATTGGCTAGCATGACTGGGCTCGAGTGAGAGAAGACGTATGTAGTGTCATCTGCAAAAAGTGTGGGTTTGAGTAGTTGCAATGCATTTGGTAGGTCATTTATGTAAACGAGAAAGAGAAGAGGGCCAAGGACACTTCCCTGTAGGACACCAACTGTAATTGGTTGTGCAGAAGAGTTATGGTCGTGTGTCCTGTTAAGGTTGGTGAGGAGAAGTTTGAGTGGAGGGTTTATGTTTGCATGTATTGTTTTATGTGCATAGTAGACACATGAATAAGTATGGATTACTTAATGGTGAGCAGATTTAGACTTGAAAATTGGTGGAGTATGCTGTCGGGAGTGGGAATTTGTTATCATTCTGATTGCTGCCTTTTGCCGGGTTATTAGTGGTCTTAGGTGATTTAACCCTTTGACTGTTTTGGTTGTATATATACGTCTAATGAGCCACCGTTTTTGACGTATATATACTCATAAATTCTAGCGGCTTCAAATCAAGCAGGAGGAAGCTGGTAGGCCCACATGTGAAAGAATGGGTCTGTGTGGTCAGTGTGCACCATATAAAAAAAATCCTGCAGCATGCAGTGCATAATGAGAAAAAAAAAACTCCAACCTTTTTTTTTTTTTTAATTAAAATGTCGATTTTGTGGTCCATTTTCGTATAGTATTTATGGTTGTATTCTCGTTTTCTTGGTCTCATTTGATGGAATGGAAAATGTATTATATAAATAGAGGTGATTTTGATTGGTTTTACTATGAAAAGAACCTTGAAATGGAGCTCAAAGTAGGGGAAATGTTTGATTTTTGCCGATGTTCAGATGTAAACAAATAATGTCATTTTCCAATAAATGTCCAAGTAGCCATTCTAATATGCAGTCATGAATGGGTTGACATTATTTATACAATTATTACAATATTGCAGTAGTCTGCATAACAGTAAATCTTTTATTTTTTGTTTGAATAAAAATTCAAAATAGAAAGCAAGAGTATATCAGAGGGGCCTGGAGATGTGACTAATGAACAAAGAAAATGTTATTTTATCTGCATTGTTCATTCTGGACCCTATTTTGAAATTGTCATATTTTTTTAATTTTCGTGAAATTGGCCAAATTGCAAATTTCTGACCACGTTATTGGATAGCTGAAATCAGTAAATGGGCAGTTTCTTGTACTCAATCAATAGAACAAATGAAGTTGTAAAGAAATAGCTATGAGTTTAGTCGACTGGAACAATGGAATTAGCTGAAAATAGGGCTCAAAGTGGGCGGAATCATCGATTCGTAAATATCGCCGAGGTTGCTGACTTCATGAGTGTATTCCGGCAGTTTTCCATCAAACTTCGTTCTTTTGGTGTCATTGCAATCAGGAAAAGATTCTCTTATCATTTCATAAGAAAAAACAAATTTTTTTTTTTTTTTTAAATTTTACGACACCAGGAGACACCTCATTATTTGAGGTTGCGACTGTCAAGGGGTTAATGTTGTTAATCCCCATGCACAAATTCCATGAACATTGAGTCTGTTTGCTGTTTCAGTTGGAGGGAGTAAGGGTTCGTCTGATTTTGTTAATTTGATTGTTTTGTTTTTGGATAACTTTATAGTTCCAAGAATTTCAGATAGAGTTTTCCAGGTCTTTTTCATATCACCTTTGATGTTATGTAATCTATTTTCATAGTACAATTTTTTAGATCTTCTTATCAGACTGGTAAGAGCTGACTAGTAATGTTTTGGCTGGTCTCTAGTTATTTGACCCATTCTGTACTGCTTTTCATATTGGTGCTTTGTGTTTATGGATTTAAGGATGCTGGGTGTTAGTCAGGGACTATTCAGTCTTATTAGCTGTGATCTGTTTAGTTTTTTTAGGGCAATGTTTGTTATAGAGGTAATGGGCTTTTTTTTAGAAAATTATTTATATATTCATTAATATCTATTTATGTTTTGAGCTCATTATGCCAGTCGATGTTATTCATAGCTGCTATAAAGTTGTTAACAGCTGTCTCGTTATGTAGTCTGAAGGTAACTTTAGTAATGTCTTGGGGCAATTTACCTAGATTGGTTATGAGAAATGTTGGGTAGTGGTCTGTGGTGTTGTCTGTGATTATGCCTGATTTTATAGTGGATATGGTGTTAGTCCAGATGTGGTCTATTAAAGAGATACTAGTCTCGGAGATTCTTGTAGGCTTAGATATTGTTGGTAGCAACATTCAAAGAGTATTTTGTCCTCTCTCCAGACAAACTCTCGTCCGCTGCCGACGATACCACTACATGAATGACATATTTTATTAATTCTAGAGTATATATCAGGTTCCTATGTTACTTACATTGTTTATTATGTCATATTAGATGAGTTGCGATAGATAAATAAGCCATAGAGTTGATATTAGGGAAATTATTGAAGTATTTTGTCATGCCTGGAATTCCACTGGAACGGATTAATTGCAATTCAGTTGCTTTAACCCTTTGAGGGTCCGTCCCGTAGATCTACGGCTTTATGTTCAGGGTCCAAACTGTAGATCTACGTCATTAGCTCAGCTCACTCTGATAAACTGAGTGGTACATTTGGGCCTAGATATGAGAGAATACATCTATGTGGTATGTGTGCACCACATAAAACAGATCCTGTAGCACGCTGTGTATAATGAGAGAAAAAAACTGAAATCATGATTTTTCGATTAAAACAGCAACTTTGCAGTGTTTTTTCATATGTTTTTTATAGTAGTTCTATTTGCGATTTCTTGGTCTAATTTGATAGAATGGAAGACATATTACAGAAATAGAGATGATTTTGATTGGTTTTAGCACTGGAAATGGCTTGAAACTGAGCTCAAAGTAGCAGAAATGTTAAATTTTTGCCGATATTCAAGAGTAAACAAACGACCTCACACATCTAATACACGCCAGCTGGTGGGTCTAATATGCATTCACAAATATGGTGATGATATTTATACAATTATTACAGTATTGCATAACAGTAAATCTTCTATTTTTTGGTGTGAATAAAAATTCATTATGTGAATAAAAAATCAAAATGGAATTTATTTGTAAAGCCTCAAAACATAACTAATGAACAGAGGAAATGTTAGTTTAGTTCCAGGAATACCTACATTGTTTATTCTGGACCCTATTCTGAAATTGGAATAGTTTGAACTTGTAATTGGCCTAAAATGGGAGTCAAAATCGGCAAAATCGCCGATTCATAAATATCGCTTACACATCAAAATTCGCAAAGCATAATTTCGTCAATTTTCCATCAAATTTCGTACTTTTTGTTTTATTACCTTCACAAAAAGATTCTCTACCATTTCATAAGAAAAAATAACAAATTTTTTTTGGGAAAATTCTTGGACACTGGGGCACCACTTCAGATTTGGGCCTTGGACCCTGAAGGGGTTAAACGAGGAAAATTGACTCTGCAAACGAGCAAATCCAGATGCGAGCAAGGTCACAGAACGGATTAAACTCTTGAGTGGAGGTTCCACTGTACTTCATTAAAATGGAATATGCGATATCTCTGATAGTTGCCCCTGTCTCAACCTACCTGCTGGAAGTTCAATCCCTGTATCATTCAAAACCTTCACCACTTCCCTCCCACTTTTTTGGAACACCTCTTATCCCTCCTCCATCCATCTCAGGTTTATTCACTCTCTTGGTGTCTGTATTTTGCTCCATCTTTTCTGAATAATGCATCATGATGCAAGTGACACCTTTAACAACTTCAGACAATGGTCCAGCCATGGCTACTTTCTAACACTATTTATGTTGATATCTTTGGGACCTATGATTTTAAAAGTGCCTAGGCTTACAGAGACATCTGGCCCTGCTAGAAACAATACCCTGCTTGACCAGGTAGTCGAAGAAATTTTGGCTTGAGGCTAGGCTGCAGAGGTAGAAGAAGCCATAAAGTCAGTTAGATTTGTGAAGTAAGACAGGTAGGCATACACAATTGTATATGATGACTTATTACAAACTTTTAAGCTACACTTGTAAACAGGAAAATTTGGTCAAAATATGCTGTGTAGCCAAGACATGGAAACCATTGTGCACCCTTGTAGACTTTTTATATGTAGACTTGATTTTGAAGATATGCTCGTTGTCAAGAGGAAACTGGCCTGCTGTCTACTACAATTTCTTGATCAGCTTGGTTGTGATGGCTGCATAGGCCTGTGGGAAGCTAGCAGCTGCAGCCTGATTGATGAAGCAGTCAAAGAGAAGGTCAGGCCTCAGATCTGGTTGCTTGGGTAGAAGAAACTGCAAATCTGTCACAAATCTCGTGAGATACAGCAAGATATAAGAGCAGAAATATATTTCTTTCCTCCCTAATAATCCTCAAGTAATGTAATCAACCCTTTATGAAAAAGGTTGAAGTTGTATTAAGAAAATTGTGTATCATGAGACATGCCACAGTACAAGATTGGAATGTCTTTCTTGATGCTATATTTAACAGACATTAAAGCAGTTTGAACACTTTATATAATGTTTTGCTTGGAGATCATATCCAAACTGTTTTTGTGTCTGCTAAGCATTGTTTTTTCATACTTGTTAAGTTTATTTCTCTTTCTAATTATGCTAGCATTCTTGTTCTTCCACTTGTGAAGTTCTTAACAAGACTTTTCCCAATTCTTTGCTAAATGTTCACTTAAAGGATGGTCTCCACCTTTGAATGATGTTTATAGGATTTTTTTTTACAGATTCGTACAGTATGTGAATTCCAAATTTTCCTTTAAGCATTTCTGTATGAACCCTACAGGGGGAACTTAGCAGAAAACCTGCTCCGCTAAGATCACATTTCGGCATGAAAATGCTGCAGAGGATGGGCTGGATGCCAGGCGAAGGGCTCGGCAAGAACAAGGAGGGAATGATAGAGCCATTAATGCCTGAAGCTGATATGGACTTACCAGGTGAGTTGTCTTTGTTTATTAACCCTTTGACTGTTTTGGTCGTATATATACATGTATACAGTGGACCCCCGCATAACGATTACCTCCAAATGCGACCAATTATGTAAGTGTATTTATGTAAGTGCGTTTGTACGTGTATGTTTGGGGGTCTGAAATGGACTAATCTACTTCACAATATTCCTTATGGGAATAAATTCGGTCAGTACTGGCACCTGAACATACTTATTGAGTGAAAAAATATCGTTAACCGGGGGTCCACTGTATACGTTATACGTCTTGCGTGCCACTGTTTCGGACGTATTTATACACGTAAATTCTAGCAGCTTCAAATCAAGCAGGAGAAAGCTGGTGGGCCCACATGTGAAAGAATGGGTCTGTGTGGTCAGTGTGCACCACATAAAAAAAATCCTGCAGCACGTAGTGCACAATGATAAAAAAAAACTCTGACCGTTTTTTTGGATTAAAATGCTGACTTTGAGGTGCATTTTCATATAGTATTTATTGTTGTATTCTCGTTTTCATGGTCTCACGTGATAAAATGGAAAACATATTACAGAAATAGAGATGATTTTGATTAGTTTCACGATGAAAACGACCTTGAAATTGAGCTCAAAGTAGCGGAAATGTTCGATTTTTACCAATGTTCAGGAGTAAGCAAATCACACCACACTTCCAATACACGTCAACTGGGGAGTCTAATATTCTTTCACTAGTGCACTGATATTATTTATACCATTTTTACAATAATACAGTAGTCTGCATAATAGTAAATTTTGTATTTTTTGTATGAATAAAAAATCAAAATAGAAAGCAGTAGTAATATAAGAGGGGCCTAGAGATGTGACTGATGAACAGAGGATATGTTATTTTAGTACCAAGAATGTCTACATTGTTTATTCTGGACCCTATTTTGAAATTGGCATCTTTTTTAATTTGCGTGAAATTGGCTAAATTGCCAATTTCTGACCACTTTATTGGGTAGTTCAGATCGGTGAATGGGTGGGTTCTTGCACTGAATTGATAGAAAAAATTTCGTTCTAAAGAAATAGCTATGAGTTTGGTCAACTGGAACAACGGAATTGGCCAAAAACAGGGCTCAAAGTCGGCAAAATTGCCGATGCGTATGTCGCTGAGGTCGCTAGCTTCACGGGAGCGTAATTCCGTGAATTTTTGACCATATTTCGTACTTTTGGTATCATTACCATCGGGAAAAGATTCTCTATCATTTCATAAGTTTTTTTTTTTTTTTTTTTTTTTTTTTTTTTTTTCTTTGTTTTTTTTTTTTTCAAAAAAATTTTGCGACATAGAGTGACAGTTTCAGAAAGGGGCTGGTGACAGTCAAAGGGTTAACATACAGTACTGTGAAGTGTTTTTCTTTGTTAAGGTACAGTACATGTTAGCTAGAAGAGCAGTTAATCTCTTTCTGCTAGATCAAAGGTGTTTAACCCTTTGACTGTTTTCGACGTATAAATACGTCTTACGAGCCAATGTTTCTGACGTATATATACTCAATAATTCTAGCGGCTTCAAATCAAGTGGGAGAAAGCTGGTAGGCCCACATGTGAGAGAATGGGTCTGTGTGGTCAGTGTGCACCACATAAAAAAAATCCTGCAGCAAACATTGCGTAATGAGAAATAAAAAACTCTGATCGTTTTTTTGGAATAAAACGCCGACTTTGAGGTGTATTTTCTTATAGTATTTATCGTTGTATTCGCGTTTTCATGGTCTTAGGTGATAAAATGGAAAACATATTACAGAAATAGAGATGATTTTCATTACTTTTACAATGAAAACGACCTTGAAACTGAGCTCAAAGTAGCGGAAATGTTCGATTTTTACCAATGTTCAAGAGTAAATAAATCACACCACACGTCCAATACACGTCAACTGGGGAGTCTAATATTCTTTCACTAGTGCACTGATATTATTTATACCATTTTTACAATAATGCAGTCGTCTTGCATAACAGTAAATTTTGTATTTTTTTGTATGAATAAAAAATCAAAATAGAAATCAATAATAATATAAGAGGGGCCTAGAGATGTGACTAATGAACAGAGCATATGTTATTTTAAGTGCCACGAATGTCTACCTTGTTTATTCTGGACCCTATTTTGAAATTGGCATCTTTTTTATTTTGCGTGAAATTGGCCAAATTGCCAATTTCTGACCACCATATTGGGTAGTCCAAATTAGTAAATGGGAGGTTTCTTGTACTCAGCTGATAGATAAAATGGAGTTCTAAAGAAATAGCTATGAGTTTGGTCAACTGGAACAAATGGAATTGGCTGAAAATAGGGCTCAAAGTCGGCAAAATCGCCGATACGCATATGTCGCAGAGACCGCTAACTTCGCGGGAGCATAATTCCACGAGTTTTCGACCAAATTTCGAACTTTTGGTGTCATTACCATCAGGAAAAGATTCTCTATCATTTCATAAGAAAAAATAATTTTTTTTTTTTTCAAAAATTGAGCGACATAGAATGACAGTTTCAGAGAGGGGCCTGAAACAGTCAAAGGGTTAAACTTGTTGGCCCTGTCATCTGTTAACATTTTGACTGCTTTGGTAGTATATATACGTCTGACGAGCCACCATTTTTGATGTATATACAGGTCTCCCTCAACATTCGCGTTTTCAACTTTAGCGGGCTTCACACATTTGCGAATTCCCAACCGCCAAATTCCCAGCCGTCAAATCATATTTAAGTTTCCCGCCACCTGTGAGTCCCTACTACCCTCCCTCCGACCCCCACAACTGGCAGCCAGCCCTCCCACCACAGTGTGGTGAGTGTTTTGTTTGTTCATTATTTGCTATTAAACTACAGTAAACTACAATGTAAACCCATTCGTGACTGCATATTGGAATGGCTATTCGGACAGGTATTGGACGGTGACATCATGTGTTTACTCTTGAACACAGCAAAGAATCAACCATTTCTGCTACTGCTAATGATAACAACAGTAATTATAATAATAATAATAAATACGATAGAATTGAAGAAGGAAATTGTACAAAAATACGAGGGAGTGGTTGACACATCGTCAGTGTGGCTTTGTTTATGCTGGAGTGAGCATTAGTCTCCATGCTCTTCCAAACCACAATAATTCATTGTGTTTGGTGCTTGTAGACTGAGTGCAACTGGAGTGGTAGAGGCATTGGTTGAGGAAGCGGTTGAGGCAGTGGGTGAGGCAGAGGTTGAGGCAGCGGTTGAGGCAGCGGTTGAGGCAATGGTAGAGGCAGCAGTTGAGGCAGCAATTGAGGCAGTGGGTGAGGCAGTGGGTGAGGCAGTGGGTGAGGCAGTGGGCGAGGCAGCGGTTGAGGCAGCGGTTGAGGCAGCGGTTGAGGCAGCAGTTGAGGCAGCGGTTGAGGCAGCGGTTGAGGCAGTGGTTGAGGTAGTGGTTGAGGCAGTGGTATTTAATAACATACATGTTAATAATAATAATAATAATACATGTTATTAACAATAACATTTACTATTATTATTTATAACATGTATGTTATTAAATACCACTGCCTCAACTGCTGCCTCTACCATTGCCTCAACCACTGCCTCAACCGCTGCCTCACCCACTGCCTCAACTGCTGCCTCAACCACTGCCTCAACCACTGCCTCTACCATTGCCTCAACTGCTGCCTCTACCATTGCCTCAACCGCTGCCTCAACAGCTGCCTCACCCACTGCCTCAACCGCTGCCTCAACCACTTCCTCAACCACTGCCTCTACCACTTCAGTCGCACTCAATCTACAAGTACCAAACACAATGAATTATTGTGAAATGTTTGGAAGAGCACAGAGACTAATGCTCACTCCAGCATAAACAAAGCCACACTGACGATGTGTCAACCACTCCCTCATATTTTTGTACAATTTCCTTCTTCATTTCTATCATATTTATTATTATTATTATTCCTAGGTAATAGGTTGGTAGACAGCAACCGCCCAGGGAGGTACTACCGTCCTGCCAAGCGAGTGTAAAACGAAAGCCTGTGATTGTTTTACATGATGGTAGGATTGCTGGTGTCCTTTTTTCTGTTTCATGAACATGCAAGATTTCAGGTATGTCTTGCTACTTCTACTTACACTTAGGTCACACTACACAGTAAATCAGGAGGTTCCTTACACAGTAAATCATTTTAGTCATTCTTCTCTTTATGTTCTCTAATGAGTCTATATCCATCCTGTAGTAAGGGGACCAGAGTTGTGGATGCGTGGAACAATCTTTCCAGTGGGGTGATAGAGGCTAGGACCTTGGGTAGCTTTAAGAAGAGACTGGACAAATATATGAGTGGGAGGGGCTGGGTTTGATTAGTGTCACTGGATACAGGAGTTAATTCTTGGGTAGCTTTGGGTAGAGGCCGTTTAGATAAGGACCTGCCTTGTATGGGCCAGTAGGCCTTCTGCAGTGTTCCTCCATTCTTATGTTCTTATGTACAAGCACATATATACACACACCCATCTGGGTTTTCTTCTATTTTCTTTCTAGATCTTATTCTTGTTATTTCCTCTTATCTCCATGGGGAAGTGGAACAGAATTCTTCCTCCGTAAGCCATGTGTGTTGTAAGAGGTGACTAAAATGCCGGGAGCAAGGGGCTAGTAACCTCTTCTCCTGTATATATTACTAAATGTAAAAGGAGAAACTTTCGTTTTTCCTTTTGGGCCACCCCCACCTCGGTGGGATACGGCCGGTGTGTTGAAAGAAAGAAGAAAGATTATTACTATTGTTAATATTAGAAGTAGCAGAAATGTTTGATTCTTTACTGTGTTCAAGAGTAAACACATGATGTCACCGTCCAATACCTGTCCGAATAGCCATTCCAATTTGCAGTCATGAATGCGTTTACATTGTTTATACAGTGGACCCCCGCATAGCGATTTTAATCCGTGCAAGAGGGCTCATTGTTATGCGAAATGATCGGTATGCGAATGAATTTTCCCCATAAGAAATAATGGAAATCAAATTAATCCGTGCAAGACACCCAAAAGTATGAAAAAAAAA